GGAGAATCATGTTTTCCTGGCTCCTTCCCAGTGGTCCCATCCTCTTTGTATGGGTTTTGCACTACTGGAGTGACACTGGAAGCTGCCACAAAGACCTGGCGGCAGTGCCACTTCTGGTAAGTGTAAATTTGCCAGATGTATCGTGTGGGTTCTTGGTCCACCACTTTCCTGCACTGCTTTTGCTGCTGCTTGCCATTCTGCTTCACTTTCTCCTTCTGATGCAGGTTTTAGTTTTGGTATTAATTAGTTGTTTAAGCTTAGGAAGAAAAAAACAGACCTAAGTCGAAAGCTATTTGTCCCTGCTGGCTGGACCAGTATAAGATTTCTATATATATATATAACAGCTTCTTCATGGAGCATCAGAGTATATTTTAAATACTCTGATGCTCCACGAAGAAGCTGTTAATCCAGCCATCTCAGCTACACAGAACTAAAAAGAACTGAGAGAGGGAAGAAGAGTGAGATATTTAAAAGTGTGATGTATTGGTGATTTAGCTGTTCTGCCTCCAGGCTTGATTACCTGTCTGCATATAGCAATGATTCTCAACCTGTGGGTCCCCAGGTGTTTTGGCCTACAACTCCCATAAATCCCAGCCGGTTTCCCAGCTGTTGGGATTTCTGGGAGTTGAAGGCCAAAACATCTGGGGACCCACAGGTTGAGAACCACTGGTATAGAGGATGGTTGGGTTGTTGAGGCAGATGTGATCAGCAACCTCTTTTGAGGCCACAAAGCTCATGCAATTATAGCTTATTTTATTGGCTGCCCCAAGAGAAGAGGATGGGTGAAATGATTCCTTAGCCTTTGCCTTTCCTTGAGAATCCTTGCCGCACGTTTACTTTTCATTCATGGTCCAAATCATTTGCTTTTGGTTGCTTTCTAAGTTCTTTCGAATATTGTGTGGATCTTTAGCTTTGGGATCTTTAGGTTCCAATATCCTAGAATATTGTAGCATTTTTCTTTCTGAAATCATGAGTACACTGACATGCAAAGTGCTATTGGGTTTTTCTTGTCTGACTTTGAGGAGAGGCTAGAACTGGATTGTAGTGACTCCACCCAGTGTGCTACCCTATAGATTTCAGCAGAGTTGGCACTTGAAGAGATTTCACATCAATATAGGATGAAGTATTTACCGTAAGCTTCATGTTGTTGACTGAGCCCCTTTTATTATCATGGCTGTTTCTGGAGACGAGCCTCATTTGAACTTTGAGGGCTGCAGGTAGCTGGGCATATTATGTTTCTGTATCCAGGGATGCTGGAATTAAATGGAATTGTAATCTGACTTCCATGTTTTATGTTATAGGTCTGTTTTTCATTAGTGGTGATGATATGGATACTTTTCTCCTTCCTGGCATTGCTCTTCAGATGACAAAATTGCAATGTTAGATATTCTGCAAGGCCTAGGAACTGTCACCAAGCAATAATTGCCATTTGGCAATCACTGTATTTCTATCTATTTCTAAACAATACAGAAAGCAAGGTTAGCCTTGTCACTAGCAGGATTAGTGCTATATCCTTGTGCTGATTTGCCATTTAAATTTGGCTTTATAATTGGCAGGTTGAATAACTGAAACTGCTGGCAATATAGGGAAGGTTGGGAGGAACAAAGAAAAGGGCAGAATTGTGAGAGTGTGTTGATAACATGCTACATTTGTCAGGAAGATAGTCACATTCGGCAAAGCCCACAAAGACTGGTTTTTGTAAAGCCTGAGGCCCCTTCTACACTGCCATATAATCCAGATAATCAAAGCAGGTTTTTTTTGTTGTGTCAGGAGCGTCCTGTTGTGAGAGAATTGGCCGTCTGCAAGGACGTTGCCAAGGGGACGCCCGGATGATTTTGATGTTTTCTCATCTTTGTGGGAGGCTTCTCTCATGTCCCCGGATGAGGAGCTGGAGCTGATAGACGGAGCTCATCCGCCTCTCTCTGAATTAAAACCTGCGACCTGTTGGTCTTCAGTCCTGCCGGCACAGGGCTTTAACCCACTGCGCCACCGGGGGCTCACATTATCTGCTTTGAACTGGATTATGAGTCTACGCTGCCATATAATACAGTTCAAAGCAGATACTCCGGATTTTATATGGCAGTGTATAAGGGGCCTGAGTGGTTTGACATCTGTTAATGGACAGCAGCCCTTTTGCATCTGATGCATCACGTTCTGCACCAGAAGAGAGCAGTGGTCCACAAAAGCATATAGTTTGTTAGTTTATTAGTTTTGATAATAGGTGTTATTCTCAATGATCATACTCTCAAAACAGTTGGGAAGACTTGTGCCTTGAATTTATCTAGATTTTTTTCCTGTGCACTTCTGCAAGGCATTTGCAGAAGTGCACAGAGATGGGCCTTTTTCCTCCCATGGCCCTTAGTCTGACTTGTTTTGCTTGTTTTACTAGTGACAGATGTCAGCTAATGTCCTCTGGAGCTACATGTCCTGGCTGGGTTGCTTTTTCTTCCATTTCTTTATTTAATTCCATGGGACTACATTTAATGACGTTTTAAGTGATTTGCATTTATAACTCAAGCACACTATTCATTCTTAAAGCCCGTCTTGATTTCCGAACAAGGCCCCAGATGGGCGGTGACTCTAGTTCACTCTTGAGGCAGAACATTCCCGTTAAGGATAAAGGACAGAAATTATTCTCAGGCAACCTGTGGGCTTTCTGGAAAGGAAAACAGTCGCCTGACATTTCCCTCCCTGCTGCTTCCTTTGCATGTGCGCACAGCTTGTTTACCGCACACCATGCTCAGCAGCACATTGCTGGGAAAAGTAAGGCCCTTCTGTTTTGATTTTGGTAGATAATCTTGTGCCGTGGAAGCCAGATGGACAAAGCGAAGAGGTCATGAGGAGTGGCAAGCAGCAGCGCAGAGCAGCGGATGGGAGGTAGTTTGGAAAATAAAAAATGAGAGGGGCTTTTGGAAGAATCCATATAATGAGGATTTTACCACGGGTGATCCCTTGTGTTTGTTCCTAGTGGACCCTCATTGGCCACTTGTGTATTTACTCAAACTGCGGTGTGGCTTTGGTATCCATGTACTGTATGTGCACATTGCTCTCTCTCTGAGAACCACCGTGTAAATGTTAACCTGAATTTTATACACATACCTGCCCTTTTCTAATTTATGTCATGTATAAATGTACCTATAGAAGAATCCGATCTTTATCTTTGTACAGTATATACATACTATTTTACCCATGCAGAATATTTTTGCAGTGACCTATTAGGAAAAGAAGAGTACCCCAACATACTGCGTTGGAGCTTTGCTGGAATACCTCTTAATAAAAGCATCATGATGTCAGCAGCAGCTGTTCTCTGTCTGTGTTCATTTGGATGGTTCGGAGATTTTGAGTGGGTTTTACAAATGCAAATGCTGGAAATTTGTAGACGGGAAACTTTTCTTGTTTTGGGCTGTGCCAGCCACGACCTCAGTTGCTCTTTTGTAAAGATTTGCGCACAAATTTCATTCAGAGATAAAAAGGGAAGAGCATTTTTTGTTTCCCAAACAGGTAATGGACTCTCATGATTTGTCATGTGAGGAGCGACTTGAGAAACTGCAAGTTGCTTCTGGTGTGAGAGAATTGGCCGTCTGCAAGGACGTTGCCCAGGAGATGCCTGGATGATTTGATGTTTTTATCATCCTTGTGGGAGGCTTCTCTCGTGTCCCCGCATGAGGAGCTGGAGCTGATAGAGGGAGCTCATCCACCTCTCCCCAGATTCGAACCTGCGACCTGTCAGTCTTCAGTCCTGCCGGCACAGGGGTTTAACCCACTGCGCCACCAGGGGCAGATGACAAGATGAAACTTGTAAGCAGTTTAGTAAAGGCATATTTTTAAGAGTAAACAAAATAAGGACACTTGTATGTATACAATCAGAACTCTCTGTTTTTGGATCTTGTGGTTTGATTTCACCAGATTGTTTGATGACTCCAGTTGTTGGAGCATTTTAGCTATGATCTAAGCATCTCAGGTGCATCATGATATACACATAACTGTGGTTAAGTCATGCTAAATGTGACAGGGAAGATGGACTAGGCCACCTGTTTTCTGCTGCAGGTTTCAGGAAAGTTGGCATTTCCTGGCACAGTGTATTTGCTTCTGGTTAATTTGAGAGACCTGAAGGTTGACTGGAGGGTGATGGCAACATTTCTTTCCTCACTTGCGTAACAGACTTCACCCTTACTGATTATTAGTAGCAGGGGGAGACCAGTATCTGGTAGCTTTCCAGGTGCCATTGTGTATCCAAAGACGGAAGCACTGCTTTCTGGAATTGGAGTGTAGATAGATATATAGTTACAGACTTACATTTCTCTGGTACTCAGGAAGCCTTAAAACAGGCTTGCCTTAAAACAGCTCCTGGCCTGAGGCTTCCACCTGTTGTAAAAAGGGAGATTGTCCTCTTCCCACATGCCACATCATGACCACCATCACACACAGTAGAATAGGAGAGAGAAAAACCACAGTGTGCACCCAGCAGCACATGCTCCTAGGAGGGAGGGAGGGAGGGAGCAAAGGAAGAAAAGGGGAAGGAAAAAGAAAAGGAAGAGCAAAGAAAGAAAGTAATGAAAAATTGAAGAAATGAAAAGAAGGAGGGAGCAAAGGAATGAAAAATAGGTAGGAGCGAAAGGAGGGAGAAGGAGGGAGCAAAAGAAGAAAAGAAAGAATGAAAAAGGAGAGAGGGAGAAATGGAGGAATGAAAAACGGAGGGAGGGAGCAAAGAAAGAAAGGGAGATCAGAAAAAGAGTTAAGGGAGAGAGGGAGAAAAGGAAGAAAGGAACAGAAAAGGAGGGAAGGAGAAAGGGTAGGGAAGAGGAAGGAGAGGAGGAAGGAAGGTAGGAAAGAAGGGAGAAAGAAAGGTCAGTAGGAAACAGGGAAGGAAGAAAATTAAGAAATATAAAGAATGGGAAGTGGGGAAAAGAAAGATATTCAAAAAGTAGTGGTTTGAACCTCGGACTACAGCTCGGAATCTACTGGGTGCTTTTAAGACACTCATTCTTTAATAATAATAATATAATAAATAAAACTTTATTTATACCCCGCCACCATCTCCCCAAGGGACTCAGCGCGGCTTACATGGGGCCAAGCCCAATAACACATAAATAAACCAAAAAAAAGCAATAAACAAAAAACAATACAATTAATATAAGTCACATATAAACAATAAAACACAAAGATTTAAAAACCTATGGCTGGGCCGAATATAATAGTTTAGGATTAATAAAAAAAAATCACTGGGCATGAACAAAGGTAGGATATATCTGGTAGGAGGGTTTTGAAAAAAAATGAGCGCAGAGGAAGACAAAGGCCAGGCTCCTCTGAACTGGACAAGAAAACTCTGTTATAAAGTTTCCCAAGTCTGAAACGACTTGAAGGCACACAACAATAATAATCCCAATTAGTCATTAATTATACCATACTTGGGAAGTGAGGTGCTGAAAGCCTATTTGTGCCCCCAAGAGCCTTAGCCTGTCTAATTTTGACCCTATACTTTTCCCAAGTTGTGCAAGCCTGCCTTAAAAGTTTCCCTTGCCCACTTCTTTAAAACTTGCAGACTTCCTGGTATTTTTCCTCCTTGGTACTTCCTCGCTTCAGTCCACTGCCTCTCAGCATTCTTCCAAGGACGATGGGCAAGAAGTCTAATGGCACCGACACAGCAGGTGTTGTGGGTTGCAGCAAGGCGACACTGCTGGGTCGTGAGAGTAATCTGCAATGGATACATTGTCCATAGCAATATCCTGAAGTATGTCTTGAAGAGCCTTGCTCACACCTGGCAAGACAGTCCTGTACTCAGGAGTGTGAGGGTCCAGGGGTTGCGCCTCCAGAACATCCCGGTGTAAGTTAAAAATGAGAGGGGGTTGGTGCTGCTGTTCCTGTCCAATACTGCCATCACAGGCTCTGGCGCCACCTGGGAAGAGGTCAAGTGCAAGGGTTAGAGATCGGGATCTCATGACAACCAATCCTGAAGCTGTATCTTTATAGTTGCAAGGAACAACATCCCTGAACACTGGTGGGTTGGACAGACACATGTATAGTTCAGCTCATCACACAACTATGAGTGCAAAAACTGACCAAGAGTGTATTGATTGGGCCAATACTTGAAAATCAAAGTGTAGGAACACTTATTGTGAGCCTTCATTTCTCACCTATGAGAAATGTTTGAGGACCGGGACATCTGTAGGGATACCAAGGTGCTTGTTTATAAAGCTATTGTCCTCCCAACCCGCTATATGCCTACAAGATGTGGACTGTCTACAGACGTCACATGCAACTCCTGGAACGATTCCATCAGCGTTGTCTCTGAAAAATCCTGCAAATCTCTTGGGAAGACAAGCGGACAAATGTCAGTGTGCTGGAAGAAGCGAAGACCAGCAGCATTGAAGCAATGGTCCTCCGCCATCAACTCTGCTGGACCGGCCATGTTGTCCAGGTGCCCGACCACTGTCTCCCAAAGCAGTTGCTCTACTCCGAACTCAAGAACGGAAAACAAAATGTTAGTGGACAGGAAAAGAGATTTAAAGATGGCTCAAGGCATGGAACGTCTAGATAGTCCACATCTCGCAGGCGTATAGCAGGGTTGGGAGGACAATCGCTTTATAAAAACTCTGACATAGACACAGAGTACTGGGAAGCCCTGGCCCTTGAGCGCTCCAGCTGGAGGTCAGGTGTGACCAGCAGTGCTGTAGAATTTGAAGAGGCACAAATGGAGGGCGAAAGAGAAACGTGCCAAGAGGAAGGCACATCAAGCCAACCCTGACCAGGACTGCCTTCCACCTGGAAACCCATGCCCTCACTGCGGGAGAACATGCAGATCAAGAATAGGGCTCCAAAGTCACCTACGGACCCACCACCAGGACACCGATCTTGGAAGACAATCCTACTCGGACAACGAGGGATCGCCTAAGTAAGTAAGTAATGATGCCCATGAAAGTCACTCTGAGGATTCTAACCGCTATAGAGTTCTGACACACTACAGAAATATTTTAAAATACTTGTTTCCCTCTTGTGTTTTTATAACATGGGCAGGTATTTAATGAAACTGGATTCACAAGTAGATCATACTTCAGCTAATGCAACAGCTGCACAATATAGGATTAACACATCTGCGACCACAGTGGTCAATCCACAGGATAAGTTCATGGATGAGGAAGATCTAAGTTATCCTGAGGACATACATAGTACACAACCTCACAGCCATACATCCTTCACAGTCATACATCCCCAAATCCAAAACAGGACTGTGTTATGATTCAACAGGGATTAATACAGTCAGAATACCCCCATTTCTATTGACATGGCACTTTGCTACCTTTGCAGAAAGGAGAAAAACTGGAAAATGTGTCTCACTCTGTGGGTCATATTAATGAGAAGGCTGCACTAGAGAACAATAATGGATTTCCCACACATTGTTCACACAAAGCCCACATTATAGTGATGAGCTTATGGGAACAACACACTCGGAAGCAGGCTGTTTTAGACAGATCTACACTTACTGGAAACCCTATCCAGTCACAAAGGAACAGGAGCATTACATACCCAGAGAGGTCTTCTGGAGTTCATGGCTTCTCCTATGTCAATGTTGATGACTGAAACTCTGTTGGAGTGTTCTTGTTTAACTTTTGTATTCATGATCCTAACATAGTCCCTAGTTTAGGGTACTTAGGAAACATGAGTTTCCCAATCAAAATTTATTGGGTGGTAGCTGTTGTGATCAAAGAGGGTCTGTTCCACTATCGCTGATTGAAATTCATGTGAGCAATCTCTGACGTGAGTAGGAATTGTAACAAGGACCTTCCTAATATAACGGAGATTACTCACAGGAAAGGTGGGACATCAGTCAGCTGCTGCTCAAACAACAGGGAAACAGACTCCTGACCATAATCGATGCATCCTAGTAAGGTGAGAGGAGCTCAGTGTCATTGTTCAGCTGCGTTAGCTATGGTGGTTACACAATCATAGCAACCCAACAAGGGCTACAGTAAATTAATGTAACATTTATTTGCAATTAGCACTTTCCCAAGTTCCCAGATCCGTCACTATGCAGATAATTATGCTTGTAGGTGTCCTGATATTTGAACACCCACACAAGAAAAATCTAATGGGTGTACTGTGTTGTCATATAACACGTACACCAATTTTTAGTGTGTGTGTGGAGAGAATAAAAATACTTTGCCTTCATAAGCTTTCCAAGACCACATCAACATATATTTTCTGAAGAAATTGTGACTGCACCTGAAGGCGGATCTCCCATTTTCAAAGGAGGGAGAGATGCCCGAGAGAGCTGAATCATCCCTGCACTTCCATCTTATCTCCTTGCAGGTTCGCTCATTGGATGCGTCTTCTTTTGTGCAAAGATGGGCAGCCCAGGGCCCTCCAGATGTCACTGGATTTCAATTACTTACGTAGGCGATCCCTCGTAGTCCGAGGATGATGGTTCTCCAAGTGTAGTGTCCTGGCAGTGGGTCCGTAGGTGACTATGGAGCCCTATTCTTGATCTGCATCTTCTCCCGCAGTGAGGGCATTCGTTTCCAGATGGAAGGCGGTCCCAGTTGGGGTTGGCTTGATGCGCCTTTCTCTTGGCACGTTTCTCTCTTTCGCCCTCCATTCGTGCCTCTTCAAATTCTACAGCACAGCTGACCTCCAGCTGGAGTGCTCAAGGGCCAGGGCTTCCCAGTTCTCAGTGTCTATGCCAGAGTTTTTAAGGTTGGCTTTGAGCCCATCTTTAAATCTCTTTTCCTGTCCACCCACATTCCATTTTCTGTTCTTGAGTTGGGAGTAGAGCTACTGCTTTGGGAGACGGTGGTCGGGAGGACCATCGCTTCAATGCTGGTGGTCTTTGCTTCTTCCACCACGCTGACATTTGTCTGCCTGTCTTCACAAGAGATTTGCAGGATTTCTCAGAGGCAATGCTGATGGAATCGTTCCAGGAGCTGCATGTGACGTCTATAGACTGTCCATGTCTCGCAGGCGTATGGCAGGGTTGGGAGGACAATAGCTTTATAAACAAGCACCTTGGTATCCCTACGGATGTCCCGGTCCTCAAACACTCTCTGCTTCATTTGGAAAAATGCTGCACTCACAGAGCTCAGGCGGTGTTGTATTTCAGTGTCAATGTTGACTTTTGTGGAGAGGTGGCTGCCAAGGAAGCGGAAATTATCAACATTTTCTAATGTTACACCATTAAGCTGTATCTGGCATTGGAAAGGGATTGCCTGGTGACTGCTGGAAGAGCACTTTGGTTTTCTCGATGTTCAATGACAGGCCGAGCTTCTCGTATGCTTCTGCAAAGGTGTTTAGAGTGGCTTGTAGGTCTTCTGAATGCACACAGACGACATTGTCATCAGCATACTGGAGTTCTATAACAGATGTTGTTGTAACCTTGGTTTTGGCTTTCAGTCTGCTGAGGTTAAAGAGCTTGCCATCTGTCCGATGGATGATTTCCACTCCGGTAGGAAGCTTCCCGTCAACAAGATGAAGTATCATAGCAATGAAGATGGAGAATAAAGTTGGAGCAATAACACATCCCTGTTTGACACCTGATTCCACCTTAAATGGGTCACTTTGGGAGCCATTGCTTTCCAAGACTGTTGCCATCATGTACATGTATTGCATGCTAATTTTTATTATTGTATGTAGCTGTTAATACAAATAAAAAATAACCACAAAGGCTTAAGGCACAATATGGTATTATCTCCTGCTGATTTTCTTTACAGAATCATTTCAGAATTCCTTAGCCTGTGAGTACATGACCACTACTTCTTCTACTTGGATTACAGAAGTCTGGAGTATACCATAGATTAGAATGGCAATGGGAAACATGTGCCCTCCAATGATGTTGAACTGCAACTCCCATCAGGCCTAGTGCACCCAATTTTGAGGAATCTGGGAGTTTCTGTCCAACAATACCTGATGGGCTGTAGAAAGTGACCCACCACTGTTATGCCCACATATGTATTTATTGACCATATTTATACCCTGCCCTTTTCAACCCCAAAGAGGACTCAAGGCGGCTTTACACATAGGCAACTATTCAATGATTTAAAAACAATATACCGTTAAAATAGACATTTAAATTAAGATTACAATTAATACACATTGAAACAGTGTGTTGTTGTAGATTTTTTTCAGGCCATATGGCCATGGTCTAGAAGCATTCTCTCCTGACATTTCGCCTGCAACTATGGCAAGCATCCTCAGAGGTTACAAGACCACACAACCTCTGAGGATGCTTGCCATAGATGCAGGCGAAATGTCAGGAGAGAATGCCTCTAGAACATGGCCATACAGCCATGTATGACCTCACAACCTCTGAGGATGCTTGCCACAGATGCAGGCGAAATGTCAGGAGAGAATGCCTCTAGAACATGGCCATACAGCCCGAAAAACCTACAACAACCCAGTGATTTTGGCCATGAAAGCCTTCGACAACACACATTAAAACATTTTAAAAACAAAGGCACCTCTGCTCTGTTTCAGTATGCTGTGGGGTTAAATTCTTGCTTTTTGTCTGGATGTCTCCCATCCCTTACAAAACCAAAAGGAACAGACACATTAAAAAAATTCTTATCTTCTCTCTGAATTCTTTTCTTGGAAAAGGGTGTGGGGCAGACGCAGACAAAGAATGAGAGATATATCTGAAGATGTGACTGTGTTTCGACATTGCGGGAAAATGACTGCCTTTATTCATATCACACTATTTTCAAGAGATGGAACAAAACTTAAACACATCCAAGAAATCTGGATAAGCAACCAACCTGTGAGATAAAATGCCTTGTACTGATCCAGCCGAAGAGCCTGTATCTCTCCATATTTTCCAGCTGCCCCACTGTTGGGATGGAACAACGTCTAGAAGAAGGAACGGTTCAGAAGATAAGGAATTGGTCTTTTCTTGGTGGAACATGTGGAAATGCACATTGGTTGATACCATGCCTTGAAGGCCCCAGCGTACATCCAATTATAATTCCCAGATGGAGTCAACTCACTTTGGGAAACTAATAAATGGACACTTGTACCATTTGATTCAACCAATTTCCTCTAGCTGGGGCTACTATTTAGATACATGGAGTGTGTACCATCACCTCACCTCTCTTTATACCATATCATCTCAATAACCCTCTTTGACTAAGACTCAATAATAGGACAACAAAATAAACATGCCTACATAGTCAAACTCTTCCACTTGCCTTTGGTCTCATTTCTCTCCCCACCCATTTGTGGACAAAGATCCACTCAATTCAACACAACTTACTTTTGAGGAGCTGTCTATGGCAGGGACGGGCAAACTTTTTTGCCTTGGGGCTGAATTGCGGGCCTGGCTGGGAGGGAGGAGGACAGGGATGCTTGCCCCATCCTTATGCTGGGAGGAAGGCGGGACATGTGGCGACTGCCCCGATCCTCCTCCCCCTCGATCCTCAGGCTGTCCTCTTGGCATTATGCCAGGAAGAGGGTGTTAGGATTTGAAAAACGACACCATGATATGGTGGGTTAACTGGAGAGAGTTTGGCTGAGTGTGTCAGGGGCTAGGGTTCTGATTGGCTGGCTGCTGAGACCAACGGTTCTAACTGTCATTCTGCCATTTGTTCTTTCTTCAGACAGTGAAGACATGGCTGGCTGCCAACTATCTTAAGGACTGATCATTTTATAGCATGAGGCATATTTTAAAGATGATTTAAAAGGGCTATTTTATTCCTCTATTCCCTGCCTGTATTCAAAGAGACTGATGAATACATTGTTACCGTATATAGACGTATTAGACGACTTTTTAGGCATGTAAAACCTTATAACATTTTGGGGATCGTCTAGTACGCCTGGTATAAAATGAAAATAATAATAAAATTACAGGGTTGTTGTAGGTTTTTTCGGGCTATATGGCCATGGTCTAGAGACATTCTCTCCTGACGTTTCGCCTGCATCTATGGCAAGCATCCTCAGAAGTAGTGAGGTCCTCACTACCTCTGAGGATGCTTGCCATAGATGCAGGCGAAACGTCAGGAGAGAATGCTTCTAGAACATGGCGATATAGCCCCCAAAAAACCTACAACAACCCAAAATTTAATGCCTCATTATGCATAAACAAATAAAAAAATATAAAGTCAATAGACATATAAATGCATATTAAAACCCCTAAAACTTCTTAAAATATAGGCATTTGTCCTTATTCAATGATCACAGTGTAACAAAACTGGGAAAAATATGTTCCTGGTTTGAAAATGTTATATCCTGTTTAATTGTGCACTTTGAAAGTAGTTGTTACACTTCAGAAATTTTGCATTTGTGGCTGCCATAAAACTATGTTAAATTGGTTGAGACTCTATGAGATATTCATTGAAAAACTATAGCCAAATGTGCTGCAGGATGTCCCACAAAAACAAAGTTTTTACAGTTTAATATACTTTTTCCATGTCTTTATGATAGAACCATTTAGGAAATGACATTTATAACCCAGGAACAAAAATCGTGTTACATAGTGTCATTAGTCTCAGCAATCAGGGCCTCCATTCTGGACACACTACCACTTTTGTATAGAAAACAGGCAGGGGTTTGTTTCAACTTCGCTCTGTGTCATGGAAATAAATTTCTCACTTTCAGACACCTAACCAACCCTATCTTTTTCTGGCCCAAGGCTAGTCAAGCAGGATCTTGTTCTTAATTTCTGGGGTTTTTTTCCCCTGCACAGTAACTCATGTTCAAATACTTGTGCCACTACAGCACAGCCGTAAATCTGTTTGTACAAATCCAGCTTCTCTGTGAATTAGGGCGTTCTTAAAAAATGTCTCCTTTCCATTTTCACAGGTGTGTGTCTCAGACAGGCATTCACCTTGGCACAGTCAAACCAGAGTTGTTACTGTTTTCAGCTTGCTTTCCCAACCACTGTCTCTTCTCAGCCCTTCTTTTTATTATTATTATTATTATTATTATTATTATTATTATTATTATTATTATTAAACTTTATTTGTACCCCGCTACCATCTCCCCAAGGGACTCGGTGCAGCTTACATGAGGCCGAGCCCAACAATTCAACAATAAAACAATAGCAACAATAATACAACAATAAATAAAGCTCATAAACAGAAAATAGCAATAAACATTAACAATAACACAACGACTAGGTTCTTGTGGGTTTTTTTCGGGCTATAGAGCCATGTTCTAGAGGCATTTCTCCTGACGTTTCGCCTGCATCTATGGCAAGCATCCTCAGAGGTAGTGAGGATGCTTGCCATAGATGCAGGCGAAACGTCAGGAGAAATGCCTCTAGAACATGGCTCTATAACCCGAAAAAACCCACAAGAACCTAGTGATTCCAGCCATTAAAGCCTTCGACAATACATTGAACACAACGACGTTTAAAACCTATGGCAGGGCCAAATGTACTAATTAAAAATTTAAAAAATAATGCTGGGCGTGACTAAGTGACATATAAACAAGATAGAAATTTTGGAGAGGGATAGAGCGTGCAGACAATCCTAGATCACTACTAAAGTGCCTTTAGGGACAAATTGCTGGGAGTTTCCTTATTTTGGGAAGGCACACTGGAACAACCACATTTTCAGGCTCCTCCTAAAGACTGCCAACGTTGGAGCATGTCTGATGTCCCTGGGGAGTGAGTTCCAGAGTTGAGGGGCCTTGCGATAGAGGTGGGAGCGCGAGCAGGGCCTCTCCAGATGATCGAAGAGATTGCGTGGGTTCGTACACAATGATGCGGTCATGCAGGTAGGCGGGTCTCAAACTGTTTAGGGCTTTGTAGGTAAGCACCTGCACCTTGAATTGGGACCGGAAAATGAACAGCAGCCAATGGAGCTCCTTAAACAGGAGGGTTGACCGCTCCCTGTAAGGAGCACCAGTAACAATCTGGCTGCCACTCGTTAAACCAATTGAAATTACCGGGCCGTTTTCAAGGGCAGCCCCACGTAGAGTTCATTATAGTAGTCCAATCTGGAGGTGACTAAGGCATGGACCACCCTGGTCAAATCCGCCTTCACGAGGTACGGTCGCAGATGGCGCATGAGTCTTAATTGTGCCAAGGCCCTCCCAGCCACCGCCGACACCTGAGCTTCAAGCGTAAGTGATGAGTCCAGGAGGACACTCACACTGCGGACCTGTGACTTCAGGGAGAGTGCAACCCCATCCAACACAGGTTGCCACCCTATACTCCGATCTGGTTTACAATCAACCAGGAGGACCTCTGTCTTGTCGGGATTGATCCTCAGCTTGTTTCTCCTCATCCAGACCACCACAGCGGCCAGGCATTCATCCAACACCAGAGGGGCTTCCTTGGAATTGGGTGGAAAAGAGTAGTAGAGTTGAGTGTCATCTGCGTAGAGATGGCACACAACTCCAAAACTCCGGATGCTTAATCCCTCTAGATCTGACCATACTACAGCCATGGCAATGTTTCTTTATATAAGCAGTATTTCACTTTCACATGGTCATTTAGCACTATAACAAATGGAATAATGTTTGTACTTCATTGAGAGAGACATGAGACATCATCTCCGGCTAACTGCAGGACACCAGGAATTCGTCTTCCACTGCAGTCTGATTCTATGATTCATCTTTGAACAACACAGCTCAGAAATATCATCAGGAAAGTTCCAAGAACATTGCAGACCCTTCTGCTTTGCTTCTCTTCAAGTTGTCTAACTTAACATGGTGGTATTATATTCCCGTGAATTATTTTAATCTTCCCAGGACTGTCCATAGAACCCATCAGGAGATTTATTTTATTTATTTACTGTATTTGTATACTGCCCTTCTTGGCCCTCAAGCAATTTCAGTTCTGGTAGAAAATATTATTTATTTATTTATTTATTTATTTATTTATTTATTTATTTATTTATTTACATTATTTCTATTCCGCCCATTTCAGCCCGAAGGCGACTCAGGGCGGTATACATAGTCGGCACAATTCGAGGCCAAAACAAAATACATACATTAATATAGCAAAAACATTAAGTGTAAATTAAACATAAACGATAGTGCAAAATAAACAATTTAAAAAAGAACTATAGCTAGACATTTGATGAGGATAGAAAGCTTTCCTGCCTGTCTGTCTGTCTGTCTGTCTGTCTGTCTGTCTGTCCATCCGCCCAGTTGTCCTATACTCAGGGCAAACCATGTTGTTTTTGACAACAAATTCATCAACTTCTATAATAATCAATGCTACCCCCAGTGGTGGTCCGCAAACAAATGCTTATGTACAAGCCATTTCTGCTAGTATGCAGAATGTTTCCAAGGGAGGAAGGGAGCGAAGGAGAAAGACAGAAAGATAGATTGGTAGGTAGGTAACCAATGTGCACAAATACAGTACAGGTATCCACTGGGTATTGGTTCGAAAACCTGCACCACCACATCCCCACAGATTCCAAAATCTGTGGATGCTCAGATCCCATTACGTACAGTGGCATCATAAAATGATGCCCCTTATATAAAATAGGAAACAACTCAAAGCGCCTGAGAATCTGTGAAATGATGGGCAACAAAAGCAGGGAATGCCTACACATCAGCAGAATGGCTTGCTTTGTTGATTTTCCCCCTCCATAATATTCTTTATCTGTGTCTGGTTATTTATTTATCGTGTCAGTAGCAACCAGACAATTGTATTACATTTTTAACAAACAGACAAAACAGAGTTTGCAAGCTTGGTAGTTGATTAAATGTCCTTTGACCAGTATCTGGCCACTTGGAGTGCTTCCGGTGTTGCTGCAAGAAGGTCCTCCATTGTGCATGTGGCAGGGCTCAGGTTGCATTGCAGCAGGTGGTCTGTGGTTTGCTCTTCTCCACACTCGCATGTCGTGGATTCCACTTTGTAGCCCCATTTCCTGAGGTTGGCTCTGCATCTCGTGGTG